GGTAGTGCGATGGCACCGGATTAGGAGAGGAGCAATTCGCGTACTTGTCGCGAAACTCGAGGTCAGCTTGGTAGCCGCGGATGAAGCTGTCTCGAGGTCGTCATAGATCTCGAAGGTCAAATAGACGGTGGTGCATTGATCCGGACGTCGTGAAAGAGCATCCGCAAAAAGGTTTGACTTCCCCGGGATGTGATCGGGAAAGAAGACAAACTAGTCGATGAAATTCATCCAACGAGCGATGGTGTTGTTGACCGTGTCTTGGGTCTTGTAAAAGACCAATGGATTGTTGTCCGTCACCCATCGGAATTGACTTCGACCAAAGAGAAAGTGTCGTCACTGCTTGAGCGCGTGGACGAAGGCAAGGAGCTCCTTTCGTGCATCGTCAATTGAGTGCACTACGGGCACCTTCTTGCTGAAATACTCGACCGGTTGCCAGTCCACGCCATCGTGTTGCTCGAGGACGCCCCCAATGCCTCAGTCGGACGCATCGGTAGTAACGCGCGTCGGCAATAGCGGGTCGTAGATGCGTAAGACCTCCGCATCCTCATCGAAGTCGAACGACCTATCCTCGCATTGGAGCTTGGTCAAGTGGGGCGCAATCTTCAAGTATCCCTTTATAAAACGTTGGTAGTAGCCGGCAAGGCCAAGAAACGAACGAACAATTGTGACGTTCCGCGGCTCCGTCCACTCTTGGATGGCTTGAATCCTGTCCGACAACGGATTGATGCCCTCTAGTGTGACAAAATGGCCCAAGTATTCCAGCTCTATCGGAGAAATTCGCACTTGTCGTGGTTGGCTTTGTACTTGGCATGGCGGAGCGTCTCCAGCACTCGTCGAAGGTGCTCAAGATGATCCTCCACGGTCCGACTATAGATGAGAATGTCGTCCAAGTAGACCAGCACGAACCGGTCCAGCATCGCATGGAACGCATTGGTCATCGCCGCTTGAAAGGTCGCGGGGCATTGGTGGGGCCAAAGGGCATGACCACCCACTTAAAATGCCCGTACTGCATCTTGAACGCGGATTTATAGCGATCATTTGGGCGTATAGAAATCTAATGATAGCCCGACTTCAAGTCCAACTTGGAAAAGTACTTCGCGCCGCCCAATCGATCAAGAAGATCGTCAATACGAGGAAGAGGCCCCACATTCTTGACGGTTTGCGCGTTGAGCTTCCGGTAATCGATGCACAATCGTAGATCCTTGTCCTTTCGTACGAAAAGAACTGGTGCTCCATAGGGGGAGCTACTAGGGCAGATCCAGCCCTTGTCCAACAAGTCGTCGAGTTGTGCACGGAGGACCGTGAGCTCCTCCTCGCTCAAGTGATAGATACAACTATTCGACGGCACGGCACCGGCCTCAAGAATGATTTTGTGAGAGATCGCCCGGTCCGGCACCACACCGGTAGGTGACTCAAAGATGTCGGTGAACTCGTCGAGCAACCGCACCACACGAGGGTCCGAAGACAATTCCATGGGTGAAGAGTCGGCTACCGCGATGGTCCGTAAGAAACATAGGCCTATCTCGTCGGGCTGCTCGTAAGCACAAGTAGCCCGGAACAACTTGGTGGTCACCACTTGGCACCRGAYCGTAGGGTGTGAAAGAGGAATAATACACAACACTTCGGCGCCAAASGCRTCGCGGACGGTAAGAGTCCGACGATGGAAGTTGACGGTGTGATCCGCACTTGCAACCCAAGGCAATCCCAAAATGATATCGAAGTTTGTGTCCAAGATGTCGAACGTCACCGGTTCGCATGCATGGGGTGCGAAATATACCGGAACGACCTCGATGTAGCGGTCGATAAGTTGTTGCGTCATTCCGTCTGCCAACTTGACCGTCGTCGGGTTTGCCTTCCTCCGAACTTGTGCGCCAAGGTCAGCCCTTTGCATAAAGGCTTCGCTCGTGAAATTGCGTGTCGCGCCGCTATCCAGCAAAGCGATGCAGGACGCTTGCCCAACTTGGATGCGGACATAGAGGAGCGGTGCGTTGTTGTCATCGTACCRTTGTGTGCGAAACTCGCGGGCCACCTTGGTAACATACGCAAGGATATCCCCCACCTCAACTTCGTCATCCGTCCACGAAGTTGGTRGTGCATAGAAGGATAAGTACGTGTGAAGATGAGCACACAGTGTTGCCCATGGCGGTACCGGCAAACGGCCCGTGGTTGGGAGAGGAAGCCATGCGAAATCCTTGGACGTGAGCGGGTCCAATACCTCTATGTCGAGCTCGCGCGCCGAATCCCGTGAAGACCCACTTGAAGACGATAAGTCGTCGTTGCCAGACGGAGAACATACCGCACACACGTATTGTCCTTGAGGATCAGTACCCGGCGTAGGAACGAGCCGGGCAGCATAGTCCTCATAAGAATATAAGATAGGAGGACTATCGACTTCCGCATGTGCCTCGGAACGAAGGGTGGTCGCACGCGTAGCAACCAGTTTCAAAGGCATGGAGAGTGTCGTCGACTCACTCCCGGCAGTGCTCACTTTCCCGATTGCTTGCCCTTAGTTGCCAAAGGACAGCCCACTGTTTCGTGGAGGTCACTATTATACCATAGACAGTACCGGAATCTAGTGTGTATCTTGTATATGCTCTCCGAGAGATGATAGTGGGTCCATGGGTCTTGAGCTGCACCGGGCCGGGGGTYTGGCGTGGTGTTGGTCTTCAATCTGCCACGTCCTCGRCCTTTGCTGGGGCGGCCACCATCCCGGTCGGCTGCAAGTTTGTCCCCCTCGTGGGCAGACGCGGCCTCGCTTAAGGGGTCGATCGGCGTTGCCGTCGTGACCACGGCCACTTTCGGTCCATGCTGTTCTCTGCTCGGGCCTGCCGCAGACGAACGGTTGAGTTTCTTGGCCGCCGTGTTCGTGAAGATGATATGTGCGGCCTTGTCAAAGAGCTCCGCAGTTGTAGTGAGAGTGTCTACAACTTGAGTCAATGTGTTGGACAATGTCGAACACGACCTCGAAATGAAGTAGTGTTTGACGGCCATAAAGCCCATCGGTACGTCCAGCGTTGACGCCAAGCGTTTGAACTCGGCAATCCAATTGTCGCTCGGCAAGGTGTTCTGTTGGAACGTCAACAACTTCTCCATTGCTTTGAGTTGCAGCGGCTCTATTTGGAACCGCTTATGCCACGACGCCTCCAGATCAGCCCAACTGATCTTGGTATGCAGCTTAGAAGCCACCCCCCCATGCGTGGACAAGAGATTGTCCAACCAAGCTTGGCACGAGCCATTGGTATGCAGCTTGGAACGGGCCATTGGAACTCAACAATCCGTGCGAGCATCAGCCAGGTAATCGTTGAATACACCATCCGCACGAACGTGGGATCAACTGTATTCCCTCAAACAACCTGTCCACCTGCGTGTCGACCACCCCATTCCTTTCAGTAGATCCATGTCTGTCTGCGGAGACCACCATGAAAAAACAACGAATATACCAGTGGCAAAATCATATCATAATCTAACGTGCATTATGATCCATACTCTAACCTTCCCCTCCTCCCGCGTGCCTCATGTTCGTCTAGCCCTTACCTACCATTTAGCGAAAAAATAAAAAAATCAACCAATCAATCAATCAAATTCATTGATTGATCGAGAAAGAGGGAGAAAGAGAGAGAGAGGGCTTCCATTTCCGGTCTACTGCCCAAGGAGCAGAGGCCATGTGCATCTGCTGCATGGCCGCCTGCCTATCTGTTGCATGGCTGCGTGTCCGTCTGCTTCATGCTTGCCTCCCTATCTACTGCATGTCTGCCTGCCTCTCTACTGCATGTTTGCCTGCCTGTCTACGTCCTTGCACAGGTCCAGAACARGCTCAGGCAAAAAAATTGTAGCCCGAGCTTGTATGCAAATCATGTGCATGGCAGTGGCGCTGTGTCCCCYACATGCTACGCGCCTGGGCCTCTGTGCCCGGCCTTCCCTAGGTCTGTCTCCGTGGCCTGCTCCCAGCCTGTGTCCCCGACCTGACCCTCAGGCTGTCTCCCGAACCTGACCCTGGACCTGGTCCACGATACAGCCCCTGGACCTGGACCAGACTCAGTCCCACGATATAGCCCATGGGCCTGCATCACACAGACCTGACCAGATTCAGTCCGCTCCCTGATCTGGGCTTGACAGATAGACAGACTCACAGCTTGCCTTCCTGCCTGTCTATGGGCCATGGCCAGGTCAACGTCCATACAGCCTCACAGCCACCCCGAGGTCCTGCCTCTGTGCGTCCACAGGTCTTACCACATGTCCAAGCCCAAGCCCAAGCCCAGGTAGACATGAAAACAATGTCGGGCCCAGACCCAGGTCGATGGGGGTGCAGGCGCAAACCAGCGTCAGGGCAACGTGTGGGACTGGGCATGGCCTAGAACTTGGACCTCGGTTTTGAAAGGGGGCAAAAAAAAAAAAAA